GGCTAATAATTAAGTTTTTTTGTCACTCCGTGCGGACGGAGTCGCGAGCGACAACTAGTGATGATATAATTTTTAATTGTAGTTAAATAAGATTTTCAAATAAACAGTTACGACTTAGTTTAAGTATAACTTAACGATAACCTTTATATCATTAAAATAATTTCCTGTCGTAACATGATTGCTTGGGAACTGGATTGAGGCGATTTAATTTTTATATTCATCTGAATAAAGTACCTTTAGTTAGAAGTGATTTGCTTCGTCGTTCAGATTGTTGGATCGAAACATTTCAGAGTAAGTTTGTTTTTAAAATTATGTGTTTTCTAGATGAAAGAAATAGGTTGATACTAAAGTACGTAGTAGTACAATAAATGCCTATTTCATATATACATATAAAAATTTCCTGTCACTATGAATGTTTGTAATAAACTCCGTAAGTACTGAACCAATTCTTATCAAATTTTGTAACCATCACTAACTTTTTCTAACTTGGGAGATAGGATAGTTTTTATCTCAATTATTGATCTTTTTTTTTAATTCCGCGCGGCCGGAGTCGACAGCTATTTTCTTATAAGAATCTTGTTAGAATATTACTGAATTTAGTTAATATTAAATACAATAATTTAACAAATAATGGAAAACACAAATTTTTACTTTATACAGTTTTTTTTGTACGATACCTTAACTTTTTTTTTACTTTTTAGCTTGCCATGCAATAAATAATTAATATCATGAAGGTTGTTTTTTGATTCTTATTTTTTTTATAACAGAAGAGGCAAAGGAGCAGCGGGAACACCGAGGTGTTCAACGAAGCCCATGGACATCGGCAATACTAGAGAAACCGGAGATGCGTTGTCTGCATTTGAGATGGTGATATATTTATTTAAACTTCAGTACCATGTCTTATATAAAAATTACAATGTAACACAGTAGCTATGGGTTTCTGAGACCTACATTTCTGTATCAAACATATCGTTATCCATAATTTGACAAAACAGCGATAACAATATGTTTTAAACGGGGTTTATGATGTCAGAAACTCAGGGTAAGTGGACTAAAATTCATAAATGATTTACACTGGGGTCACCAAGTTTTTATCAATATGTGCTAAAATAACTAATAATTTAAAAAATTCTTTATTTGCGCTCTTCGTTTGTTGATGTCCTAACTTTTTATAAATACGTATTTTTTTAATTTTGACGGTTTTTTCTCTGGTATCTTATAGTACCACTTTATTTATCTTTTATTATGATCCCTACTTATTTATGAACCCACAATAAAGGCAGCGGAGTTATTAAATTGTTTTGAGTCGAATCTGGAGTACTCCACTAGTTTAAACGAATTTTATAAAATATTTCGTGCGTAAATATTTATCCCGGGAAAATGTATAAACATGGTGCACATATTCTTGGCTTTTTAGTTGAGACAAGTTCGCCGGCATTCGGCACTCGGTCAAGGCTAACACTGAGTCTAGATATACGTATATCTCTCAGCGAGGAAAGCTGATAGAAGTGTATATTTTTTGAACAAAATGTTACGTATAATGATACGCAGTTTAATTAGTTATTGGAATTGGCTTAAGTTGAGTATTTTCTTTGAAATTAAGTAAATTAAGTAATAAATTAATATAGTAGATGAAAATCAACTATTGATGACGGATTATAACTTTGTTATTACGTAGATCGTTGTTGAGAGTAATGTCGATGGTTTAAAAATAAACTGGTTAATCTTACTAATACCATAAATGTGAATCTTTTCAAATATGAATGTATGTTAGAAGGTATCTTCAGAACGGCTGTATGGATTTCGCTGATATTTGGCATAGATATAGAACATAGTCTGGAAGATCATATAGGCTACTAATTAAGTTTTTTTTAAATTCCTCGCGGATGGAGTCGCACAGGCACCCGTTAGCTAGTATATTGTTGTGTCAAAGAACGTAACTCGGTTACTGTTCAAATCTTTTTAATGTTTTTAGTGGACTCTGTAGATTGATATAAAAAAATAATAAACAATATAAAAAGGTTTTATATTAAAAATTTACTTTTTTATTTATTTTTAAATCTAAATTGTATATAACTAAGGGAAGTAAATATAACAGTAATTAGATGCACTGCTTTCTTGTTAGTGCTTTACCCAAGACCTAGGTATCATGATTATGACGCATACAATTTAAACTTGTAATGATTCCTAGAGTTGGGGATAGATGGCGTTAAAACATTTTTTTGATTGCGAAATTAGCGACATCTTTTGCAATTTTTTGCAAATTATAATATCATTGAAATCTTTATCTACAATCTAGGTAATAAAGTAATAATGGGTAGACAGTTTTAGAAATTAACAAAATGGGATAATTATGTTTGCAATTTAATATGCAAGAATAAAAAATAAATAGGTTAAATTTAATTTTGGAGAAATGGTTACTCTTACGAAGTTTGCATATAAATAAAATGACCATAGAAGATTTTTGTATAATTTTTTTTTAATGAAGAGAATATTCTTTACAGATTTATAATTGATATTTATAGAGGTTTGTATTATGTTAAATTATAAGTTTTTGTTTATCCAAAGTAAGATATAAGTTATATTGGCTGATTAACTCTTAATCTTTTTTTAAATATTTCTTATGTTCTGAGACAATGATAAAACTGTATTTATATCAAAGACATATTTTTTTTAAATGTATTTTAAGGTAAATGAGATATATGAAAATTTATTAAATAATTTAAAAAAATCATGATAAAAGTGAACTATCGTTCTGTAAAATTTTACAAATTACTTATAACCTTAATTTTATTATTTTTATCTTTTTTTATAAAAATACTACGCATATATTGACACAAGATTTGAACTATAATATGCAGCATTAAGCTCGTAACTTAACCCTTAAATGCATAAAGTAGTAAAACTGCAACATACCATAAAAAAATTCACATGTAGTTATTGTCTAGTGAGTGCATAGTGTTGTAGTTCTGCAACAAATGGTTTTTAATAAAAATAGCTATGAAAATAAAAAAAACTATTTTTTTTATTATTTTTCCCTAAATCAGCATATTCATGGCTCCAAAATATATTTTTTCTCGGTCTAAAAATAAAATCATGCATAAAATCATGCATTTAAGGGTTAAGTTACTATAAGTAACCTAGGGAATTACATTTAAAATTTCTATAAGTTAAATTAAATTCGTTCGATTGTAGAATGAATACGGACGAATTTATAATTTTAGTATACACTAAATGAAAATTCCTTAGCTACTCTTTTCATAGGGTAAGCAGATATAACAATTTGAAATTTATTTCCGAGTAATTACATTGACTAACCGTAGGTTTCTGAGTCCAAAATTCTCCGTTTAAATCATATTGTTATCTCTGTTTTGTCAAAGATAATGACAGGGACGACGATATGTTTTAAGAAATAAATGGACAACTTATATTAAAATATAGATGTCTCTCTTTTTGTCAAGAGAACGAAAGCGATGACTATATTTATTAGTAAGTGTTTTGATATTGAAAAAATATGAGGAACCACATACATATTTCTATCATCATCATCAGCTCACTATACGTCTCCACTGAGCTCGGAGCCTACCCTGAGTTTGGAGTGATTAGGCCTTAGTCAACCATGCTGGCTCAGTGGGGATTGACTTCATATCTTTGAATTTCTTCGCAGATATGTAGAGCATTGGGATGTTCTCCTTCACCGTAAGAATGTCGTATAAATGTACATATATAAATCGAAAATTGGTACATGGTGGGATTCGAACCCAGGATCTGCAGTTTACAAGTCAAGTACTTGACTCCTAGGCTATTGTATTTGTCATGAAGTAAATATTCTTTCAATTCTTTACTGGGGTTGTTAATGAAAATGACCCTTGACAATAGTATTAATGTTTTTATAACTAGTTTTTATTTAGTACTAACTATAGCTCGCGACGCTGTCCACGCTGAATTAAAAAAAACCTAATAAGTAGCCTATGTGTTCTTCCAGACTATACTATACGTCTACGCCAAATTTCATCGAGATCCTTTAAGCTATATTGGAGATATCTTCAAACAAACATCCATCCATCTAAACATTCCCATTTATAATATAAATAAGATAGCTATCGAATTCTAGTGCAGTGATACTTTTGTTAATACATAGACTTTGTAAGGAAGACCTTTTTTTTTTTAGAGGGAATGCTTTATGCATACTCCGCGCCCCAGGGGGGACGCGGTAGTTATGTGGGATTCTCCTACATAGCGGAGGTATACCCACTAAACCCCTCTGTTCCTCCAACGCATCGGGACGGGACCACGGGCACGCTTTCGCTCTCGTCCGCGGCCCTTGTAAGGAAGACCTACGGGGGTGGGCAGCTACCAACATCCTAGAGAATCTTTAAAAGATTGATTTTAAAAACAATTTTTTATAATTTTGTAACCTATGGTTTGAACCATGGTTACTGTTGTACTATACATGTAAACATATAGTTATCTCGCTTTTTTTGATAGAGAATGAGGAGAAGTCAATAGAGTAGCCAGATACCTTTATTTTTAATATATACTAGCGGTCGCTTACGACTCCGTCCCCGTGGAGTTAAAAAAAATTATGTATCCTGTGTTCTCCCAGACTAAGTTCTACATTTGTGTCAAATTTCACGGAGATAAGTCGAGTCTATGGATCTCGAACGACTATTAGAACCTAAGTCTGATAGGTCATCCTTTGTCCTTTCATAAATGCAAAGGTTTCCCATGAAACTAGGTTTAATTCATGAGGGAGACAAATATACTCATAGCCACGTATGTCTATAGATTTTCCTATTCCATGTTTTTGTTTCAATTTAGTTGCCAATCAATATTAAAATTATAAGAAAACAAGAAATTAACATAAATTACAGAAGATAATCAATATAATCTCGAGGTGTTTATAATAGAATTTTAATATATAGACGCATTTTCAATGAAAACTAAATTAGGGTAACAAACCAATGCACATGTTCAAAATATCATAAAGTAGTACTCACCCTGTGTGTCAAGGTTTTTCCAGACAAGGGGACGAGGGGAAAGTAATCGCCCGGTGTTGCTTTAGGCCCAACTGAAAACAACGAGGCGTCAGGGCACTGCCGTAGAATACGACACGGGCCCACAGCACGGCACTGCACGCTCACCGGCACATCGGAGCTTTCACTACAGACGAACCGGGGAGAAAACCAACCAAGTTACAGCTAAAACCACGCCACCATACGCTTTTCAAATAACAAAAATCGTTCTATATCGTCTATCAAACACTTCGCCGGCGAACACCGAAAACCGTTTCGAAAATAGCCACGCTTTCGCATTTCGAAAAAGCGGGCGCGCGCACGCAAGCGGCCCGCTCTTTTGAGCGCCGCGTCGCGTTCCCATTTCGGCGCGCGTTACGTCGTTTCGCTTCTGACGGAAAGAGACGGATATTATTTCGAGCGCGCAGCCTCGAACCCTAGGCGAGTTCAATGTACCGGCCTCCTCCGTGGGCGCGGGCGTCGGCATCCGTCCCTTTCGCGCGGGCGGGCGTCAGCGCGCGCCCGATAGAGAGCGCCGCCGCCGGTCCACTTTTTGTTCTGAACTTGAATTTCGATCAATATACTGCGGCGCGATCCGTCTTGGTACTTGCTGTTCAGTTTTTTTTAATGTCTTTTCATCTTTGTGTAAAAAGGGTGCGGTCACGACTTTAAATCGTATTTTTTTCATAATTTTTAATTAAGTTAACAACAAGGAAAAAAGTTGCCGATAAACATAAAAAGTGTAACAATTAAGAACATCAATAATCATTGAACATAATTGATTAGCACAGATTAAAGTAGAAAAAAAACATCGTGCAACACACTTTCACTAATTATCGTTGAAAGTGCGCTGTGAATGTAAAAAAAGATTGCTTCGTGTACGTATACTTATATATGGACTTAATTACCCACGTTAGCGTATAAGGCTGGCGGCGGACGAGAAATAGTTTAAAGTAGATAAAAACTTACAGGTTAATTAATAGCCTTAAATTGCAAATTAGTAATATTTATAGATCTAGCTTGTAAATATTAATAAACGTGTAATTAAACAGCATGCTCATTACATTAAAAGACATTTAGAATAAAATGTAACGTATATAACTATAATTGGAATTGTGTCACAGCGATTTAATGTTCAATGCGCTAAAGAGTTAGGCACGCAGGCGAATTATGCGATTCATGCTGGCCTGGCAACAGATTCACGGACGACTATTTATAGGTCTTGCGCTTGCCAATTAGAGGTCTAGACTGTACGCCGCGCAAGTCAAGATTTACTTTGATAGCTTTATACGAAAGGATAAAGTGCAAAGAAATTTGTTACTAATGGAATTTTAGTAATGACAATATACGCTACATTGTCAGTTTTTTTATCTTCTTGAAATAATTAAAAGTAACCACAGTAAGTAGATTTATATCGTTGAATATTTGTTGTTGATCAGAACTTGCGATACTATAACTTCTTATAAGAATGGTATGTGCTCAAGTAAACATGTTTTTATCGACTGTCTTTTTATTTGCTCAAAAAGAACGAGTTTTATTAATAATATTGCAGGATGCTATAAAATATCAAGTACAAAAATTGTATCGTAAATACTGCAAAGTTTTGGCTTGTTATGAGTTTGTGTTAATGTCAATTGCAGGCATACAAAGCTCAAGGACATTATAAATACCTGTCTGTACGATTGTGTTTACGTACAGAATTAAAATTAACATTGGACTAAAGGACACATTCCTTTTCGCTGTTTTTTATGCAGCTTGTACAAAATAAAGTTGTCGCATAGTTTATTTAATTATTTTATCCCTTTAAATTTTAAATGGCACCAAAGAACTAGTTTCTTAAGGACGTTGCAGATAAACTTTGTAAACAAGTAATCTCATAACCATATAAATATACACTTAATATGAAATCCAACTTTACAGGTACCATCTATAAAATAATGCGATCATTTTTACTTATTACAATACCGAAACTTTTCAACTTAATAACGTTCGAAAATGTTTTTAGTAAAATGGATATTACTTGTCAAACTATTGAATAACACTTTAAATTATATTCGGAAAGTGTTATTAAAAAAAACCATCACAGTTTCAGTCACTAATTAAATATTCGCAGACAAAGTATCAAAAAGTACAAGTCGTTGTACTCCCGCGCCCGCCGGGCGGCGGGGCCGCGCGGTAGGCGTCACTGAGCGAGCGGTACAGCTATATGTTGTGCTGCTCCTTCGCATACGATGCGCGGGCGCAGCGTCGGTGAACGCTTTTACCTTTAGCACGCTTATTTTTCTCGAATTGAATAGACTTTTTGAAGAAAATTACCCATGGAGTTACAAACAGTACCCTATAGTACTTATTTATCGCGTTATTGTGAGTTAATCTTTGAATATATTAAATATTCTTAAGGGAGAAAGTTTGATATGGATTCAATAGATTTAGTGCAATAAATTCTGTTTTTGTGAGCTAAATCTGGACTCTTCTTTATCACTCATAGAAGAAAGTTCCTCTATTTGTTACACATAGGGATATGGACATTTTCTTGTGTTATCCGTTTAGGTTCCCTTGTATTGAAAATGATTATTATACCAAAGCAATAGAGTGCATGAGTTATTTTGTAAAATAAATTAAAAATCTAGTCTGGTAACCAAGTTTAAAAAAAATCATTCGTGGTTTTCAGTTCGTCTTACTTTGATGGATTGAAATGACGCCAAAATGAGTCCTGTAAAATACTTCTTAAATCGTCCATTATATTTGCAATTAATTAAAAAAAAACACAAACGACATTAACATAATGCAGTACTGTGTACCTATGGCGGTTCTCAAATCTTTTTTTTTACTTAAAGAAATTTAAAGGTTGCCCTTTAACTTAGAAATTATTAAGCTACAAATAAGTATCCCAGTTTACTTCCTTAGATTTGCTATGATTTATGTTCTTACGGTGAAGGAAAACATCGTGTTGCTGCACATATCTGAGAAGAAATTCAAAAGATATGTGTGAAGTCACTGCACTTTGCCAGCGTTGGTTGACTATGGCCTAATCACCCTTAACTTAGGGTAGGCTCCGAACCCCTCGGTGGGGACGTATGGTGAGCTGATGATGATACGTTTTTTTTTTAAATAGTAAGCATTAAAATTATCACAAATATAAATTGTAACATCAAAAATTCTTATCAAAACTATTAATTATAACATTAGTTAAAGTAAAAACGATAAATTCATTACGTCAGTTAAATATTTATAATTAAAACGACGAAAAAAAAAACGTTAGAAATGTTATATAATACAAAAAATATTTAGTTTAATAGAAATTATAACTAAAAAAAATTTTTTTTTTAAAGTCATTTTTTAACAGCCTCTACCCACTCATCTAAAGTTATAAGTAAAGTAGCTGTCACCCGCGACTCCGACTGCACGGAATTAAAAAAAAATATTAGCAGTCTGTGTTCTTCCATACTATAGTCTTCATCTGTGCTAAATTTCAAAGAGATTCGTGCAGCCGTCCCTGATATACCTCAAAAAACATCTATCCATCTAAACTTTTGCATTTATAACATTAGGAAGAAGTATAATTGTGTCATATTACTGTTAGTAATACAATGATTAATTGGATTGAAATTGACTTACCTTAATAATTTTCTCTCAATTTTTTCATATATTCAATCTGAAACAAAATAATAAATATTTTTAAATGATATATAAAAAGTACATATACTGTTATATTTTGTGGTAAAACCTGGATCAACAAAAAAATATTAAGTGCCAAAAAATAGAAAAAAAATTTATCTCCCCTTTATTTTATTTTTTTATTACTGCCTACTTTACATTTCTGACCATGTTAAATTTTATGCGAGCTTCAGTGACTCCAAGCCCTCAACGATGTCCTTAGAATGACCTTTATTTATTTACCCTGGTTTGATGTGCATGTCTCTTTGAAGTTAAGAGGCTAATATAGAACTGTTGTTTAGGGTGCAATCCATTCATTTGTGAACCTTTGAAGTCAAAAGTCAACTGTGTGGTTAAAATAGTAAACCTTTCATCATCGGAGAAAGAATTCTGGGGGGGGACGAAGAAAATGTCTGCTTTAGTTACAAGGGCATGGGGTTAACTGATGAGATAAAAAAAATGTCTGCTTATCCTTGTAAAGGTTTTTTTTAATAAATTTCAATAATATAAAAAAAAACTACGTGAAAAAAAAATCACAAAATTTTCCTTTCTAAAACTTGAATTGTTTTTATTATTCGTTAATTTTATCGTAAAACAAACATCTAATTAATCATTTTAACGTTGCCCTTGACTCGGTTTTTCCAAATAAAGAAGATTTTCCGGGAGAAAAACATTTAATTACGGATAATAAAATCCCTATCGATTCTACAAAGAACCTTCATTAAACACACCGTCAAAACAACCCTACACGCGACAGATAAAAAAATAAAAAACACTGGCACAAACAACCCTTTTAAAAAAAAACAAAAAAAAATAAGACGTATTGCACACATATAATGTGCGTGTGTGATCCATGTAACTAAAGCTCGAAAAAAGGAATAGATAAATAAAAGGGACAGCGTTATGCGTAAGAACAGGATAGACGTTCTCCCCCACAAATATATGGCATATCTATTTGGGATTTTTAATGCGGCGTTGCCATACCTCACGGCGAATAGAGGGGAGGGTCATGGGTTTTGGATGTCCAGCCCCATGTTCAACGATTGTGGTTTTTTTTTCTTAATGGTTTCTAGTAGGTCTGGTAGCTTTGTTAAGTGTGTCTTGTATCACAAAAAAAAAACAATGAAATGGTGTACATCAAGGTTTTTGCGACCACCAAAAAATATTTTTTGAAATGAAATGAAGGAGATACGTCTGATATTAATTGTTTTATTTATAACGAACATTTTTTTAATATTATATTTTTTTTTTATATTTTTTGTGTAGTAGGCAATTCGTAAAGGTTAACTTTAACCTATTAATGTAATTTTGACGTATACAAAACTGCAAATAAAATATAATAAATTAAATAAAAAATGCTTAGAGATAAAAGGTAACCTAAAAATGACAAAGTATTCGACTCCTTTGGTAACCTGACCGCCAGGAAGGAAACACCGACGATACGTCATCTGACACCAACTTGTAATTACTCACTGACATTTAACTGCTAAGTATTATGTTTATTTAAATTAAACCACGTTTTATAAACTCTCACACATTTTATACAAGACAGTTGGAAAGACAGACAAACAGAAAATAAATTCCAGCTTGATCCCTTCACGCGTTTTTGAGAAAAAGGATCTCGACAGACAGACGGACGGACAACAAAGTGATCCTATAAGGGTTCGGTTTTTTTTCTATGAGGTACGGAACCCTAAAAAACAGTGGAACCTGTTTTCACTGTACACAAAATAGAATCATTTTGTGTATAGTGGAAACAGAGATTACGGTGAGCTTTCCCTTACCTTATACTTTTCTAAAAAAAATGGGAAGGGATATAGGAAGGAGAAGGGATTGGATAGGAAAAAATAATCTTTGTTCTGTCTATCCTTTCCTATGTTCAATATTGGTTGGCAACGATAAAAGATATATATAGATAAAAGGTATATATATATCAGTCCACTATGCATCCCCACTGAGAGCCTTAGTGGGTTCTCCCAGTCATGGGTGACTAGGCTACTGGGTCAGAGCAGGATGGTATGTTTTTTTAATACTGTAAAGATTGACGTGAGAAATTTCAGGTTCTTCATAATAAGATTGTAATTTCCGTCCTAGGACTCTATGTAGTAAAAAAAAACTAGGTGCATCTGTACTGAATATTACTATTAGTAAAACCTTTGATCAAGGCAGTTGAGCTGCAGTGTTGCAACGAATTTGTTCATACGACTCACTTACTGTGTTCATAGCTTTATTTATACCGATGTGCAGTTACTTGATGATATCATTCATGAATTCATCTTGAATGAAAATAGATCGCATTGCAACATTATAGAATTTTAAGTGTATGTCAGTTCTCTTTGGTCCTTCGAGTCGGATTAAAATTATTGTTCTTCATTTAGAAATTAATACTACATTTTTTTAAATCCTACAATCAACGTATGAAGGAAC